CTGATGGACGTTTCAAAAAGGTGAAACTTTATTAGCAGCAGAGGATGGATGTGATTGATTAGTGATTGATCCTGAACTATGATGTAGTTTAGAAACAATCAAAAATGATTAGTATTTCTATTTGTCATTGTTTTAAGGATTTAAATGTGTCCAGCTCACCTGTATGAACAGGTTATTGGTCAGGTAAACACCCCTGCAGGAGCGTCCTGCTCCTCGTTAAACGGCTGCGGGGATTGATTAGGCTGCAGTGTTAGCCAGACACACCTGAGCATCATTACCTGCTGACCTTTGACCTGGTTGGTGATGGATATAGGACAGAAGCAAGAATGAGAGTGTCTTTACAGCGCTCTGCTGCTCAGTGGGGGGGGAGACTAAGACATCACTTTTTCAGCCATGTAGTGAGTACTGATAGATAATCAACCACCCATAACCTTCATAGCCACAGATACACAGTTACACAGTGGTGTTTTCACAGTGGTTTCTTATGTATAAACGCATACAGTGTTGTTTTCGTTGTGCAAAAGTCTCGAATCACTTTTCGTTGCGTTTTGCTGAGCGGTGTGCTGCAGAGATTTGTCTGCATCATTACTTAAAAATCATTGTTGTCAGTTACTGTTTGTTTATTCTTACTCAACACTGGGGGGGCGGGGTCTGAATATGAGGAAATGAGGGTGACTCACGACTTTTGCACAGTACTGCATGTGTACGAGCAGTAATTACACATGTGACCGATTACTGCCGGGTGTTTTCCATATGTGATGCGCTGGCTGCATCAGAGTCTCACGCTCGCCATGTTTGCTTCCAGGTTCGGTCCGTACGGGATTCCCATCACCGTGTTCCCACGGCGGGACGACCGGAGTCGACCTCCCACGTCTCTCCAGCAGCCACTGCCGGTTAGCAACGACTTTCCGGCCATCAAAAAGGAAGAGAACGCTGCTCCGCCCCCTCCTCAGGACTGCACCTCTAAACCGCCACCGCTGTTTCAGGAGGGGGCACCGTACCCGCCTCCTTTGTTCATCAGGGACACCTACAACCAGGCCTTACCTCAGCCGCCGCCACGCAAGATTAAACGGCCAAAGAGGCGCTACCGCTGCGAAGAGCCCACTTCCATCATGAACGCCATCAAGCTCCGCCCCCGACAGGTACTCTGCGACAAATGCAAAGGGGTGGTGGCGTCAGGCGGGCACCGGGAGACACGGCGGGGGCCGGTGGACCTGAGGGGCGACGAGACTTCGCGGCGGCGGAAGGTAGCAGAAGGACCGATCTCTGCTGAGGTCAAGCGTCTGAGGAGTGACGACAAAGGACGGTCCCCGGCTGCCGACCGGCGCTCGTCATCAGGGATACGTGTGTCATCTTCGTCACAATCCTCTTCCCGCCGCGTTTTGAGGGGAGTGGCCTCATCCTCATCCTCGGCGACCTCGAGCCGCATGCGCCTGAAGCTGAACTCTAAGAAGGTTCTGACCAAAGGGTCAGCTGACCGCTCCAAGGCGCGGCAGGTCCTCAAGACGTTGGTGAGGAGCTCGCAAACGCCGCCGCCGCGCCGGCACAAAGACCAGGACCAGGACCGCCCCAAGGCTGTGACCCGAGCCGCCACCCTGCAGAACCACAACCAGAAGGTCCACTTCACCCGGCGCCTGCAGCACCTCAGCGCTGCCGCCAGCACGCCGCTTCCGCCCAGAATGCGCCTCAAACCCCAAAGGTATCGTACCGACGACAGCCAGGCACAGAGCTCCTCCTCCTCCTCGTCCCCGCCCAAACTCAGCGCTCGCTCATCACCTCCCAAACCAGAACTAAGCCCCGCCTCAACACCCAACCCATCCACAGCCACGCCCCCACTTCAAGTAACTGCTCCTCCCCCAACGCCATCCTGTATGGGAAGCGTTGCCGCGGAGATGCAGGCAGCGTCTGAGGGGAGAGTAGGAGGTCCTCCCTCCTCCTCTTCTCTAGACTCCACCCCCTCAGAGTGTAGCTCCACAGACAATTTTGAACTCCCCCCACCCGGAGATCCTCCCTCTTCCTCTTCTCCCTCCCATAACTCCCCCTCCTCAGCTCCACGGTGCCCACCCTCCTCTCCGCCCACTGGCCCTCCCCTCAGAGCTAATGGTGAGGAAGTGCAGTGTGGCGTTGGGGAGGAGGGCAACGACCTGAAGAGGCGCCGTAAGTCTTCCACGTCGTCTTCCTCCTCCTCCTCGTCATCGTCATCCTCCGTCTTCTCCAAGGCCGTTTCAAAATGTCCGCTCCCGGACGGCCGCACCGTGTGCGTCGGCGATATTGTGTGGGCGAAGATCTACGGCTTCCCGTGGTGGCCGGCGCGCGTGCTCGGCATTACGGTGTCGCGGCGTGGCGATACGGGGCTGGCGGTGCAGCAGGAGGCGCGTGTGTCGTGGTTCGGCTCGCCCACCACGTCCTTCCTGCCGCTCGCACAGCTGTCGCCCTTCCTGGAGACGTTCCAGTCGCGTTTCGACAGGAAGCGGAAGGGCCCGTACCGCCGCGCCATCGCTGAGGCCGCCAGCGCTGCCAAGCAGCTCACACCGGAGGTGCGGGCGCTGCTTACCCAGTTTGAGACGTAGCATCGGCCGCCGCCCACTCGCCCCATCCTCACTGCCCACCCCTTTCAGACAGGCCCCGCCCTTTCAGAGGAGGTGGGAGGAGCTAAAAATGACTGATGGACAATGATGAGTGTGTTTCACATTTATGGGGGGAGGGGGATCTGTCAGGGGCGGGGCTATCTTCAGTCACTGGCGGCGTTTCAGTTTTCCGCACCGTGGGAAATGTTATGTAGATAATTTAGCCTGATGGTTGGCTGACAGAGCGATGATGTCACAGTATTAATAAACACTAATTAAGTTCCTCGTAGTGATTGACTGATCTGAGTGGCTGGCGGTGTGATGTCACTTCCTGTTGATAAAATAGACTGAAAACTTGTTTTTTTTTTCTAGAAACTTCGTTTCCGTACAGAATTGAATAAACTGTGAACAAAGTGAGGTCCAACCCACAGCCCGGGGCCCCAGACGTGGCCGTGCTGAGCCGCTGTCAGGACGGTGCGTTCGAGGCCCCGGGCTGCTCGGGCGGCCCAACGCTCTCTGATGATGATGATGATGATGATGGTGATGAAGGTTCTCTGCTGTCAGACTGTTTACCGTCTGTTTGCAGATCAGAGAGTCCTGCTGGACAAAATAACGGGAACAGTGTGTACATGTGTTGCTTCCTGTTTGAATCTGAATAAACGCTCAAACTTCTCTGACCTTCGCCTCATCATTTCCACTCTTCTTCTGTGGTGTTTCTCTGGCAGAGACCTTGGACTTTCTCACCTGCAAACAGATGTTTGGTAAACGGGTGTCCACAGCTGCTCCCACATTTGCCTCTTGTGGCTGATTGGTCCGTTCGCTGGTCAGGTGGTGGTGGTTAATTCCTTTAGTTCACAGATCCCGCAGACCCTGAAACAAAAATCCAGGACTGATCTCCTAAACGCCCTTGTTCCAGTGAGTGTGCCGCTCAGGTCCGTTAGCTTCGTCGCAGGTGCCTCTAGATCAAACCTGAGGCTGGACCAGCCTGGCTGGTGAAGCAGGTAGCAGCAGGTGGACACAGCAGGTGAACACAGCGTCCTCACGTGTTATTACCATCAGCTGTTATCAGTCAGACTCAGTGTAGATAAAGCTGATCGGCGTCCTGGTTCTGGTCTGGGTCAGTGTTTGAGAGGTCGGCACAGTTACCTGTAGCATCCAATCACTGAGCTCCGCCACTGAAAAACAACGTCAGCAACAAAGTTCTTCAACCCGCGTTTCTTCTGGAGCCCACCTGATGGTGACAGCCATGGTTACAAAACGATTCATGGTTCATACGTCATCACTTATCCGGTCTTTACGTGGTGATGTATGAACTCCGGGTCCAAACTTCTCTGCGTTTATTAAGCCTGTTGTGTTTTTAATGTGTTTTGTATTTTGTTCTGTTTAATCTGAACAAGCCCCTAAAAACAGTCAGTGATCACTGTCGGCCTCTCTCGATTTTTATTACCGCTGTTCATTCTAAAGCTCCATTTAAACCCCTCTGATGTAACTGCAGCCCATGCAGCAGTATATGAATGACTAACCTCGTATTGTTGATGGATTATCTCAGTTCTCCTGACTGAAGTTTGGTCCGTTTACAGCATCCTGCCATGCGATTGCATTTGTTCCTGACCCATCGAGTGGAAAAAAGTTAACGCTCATCCTCCAGTTTCACTGTGTTTATCATGCTAACATAGCTGTGTAGCTAGCGGTCACATAGCACATCATTATATACCAGCTAGCCCAACTTCAGTAACCCTACAAACGTCACTGCTGTTTAGTTTTCTGTCTTCATTTATGTTGGAAGTGATAGCAGAGCTGTACGTTTTATTTTTTTATGTTTATGTGGAAACTAGCGAGCTAACTTTCTGCTAACTTCTAACTCTGTTAAATTTAATACATTCTGTTTTCATGGACGTTAAACTTAACTGTTACACCTGGTAAAGCAGCAATGCTGATGATTTTATTACAGAGGAAAGAATTTAGACAGTTTGTAACTCTCAGTGGTGCTGCAGTGTTCGTTTGACTTTGGGACCTGCAGCGGAGGTTGGACCTGGAAACAGCTAAGGACGTTACATCTGGGGGTGAACAGCTTTCTGACCTCTGTGAACTCTTGCCGGCTCAGTTTATGGGGGTTAGTATCACTATGTTTAAAAAGGATTATCTGTGGAAAGCTCATTGGCTAACGATGTGGATGGCGTGTGGCTGGCCGGGTTCCTGTTGGTGTAAGAGCGTCAAAGGAGGAGACTGGACTTCTTTAAGCGTGTAAAGCTCTGGGGCTGGTCCCTTAGGCAGGTTGTTCATCCACTATCATCTTAATATTAGTATTGATGCTAATAATAGTAACAAATTATTAATAATAGTCCAGTTGCTTTCCTTCAGCCTTTTAAGACAATGTAATTGACGAATCATTAGCCAATCAGTGAGCAGTGTCACATCCGTTCAGTTATAAAAATGAAGATGGTGACACTGAGCACGCCTCTGACAGGACGTCAGAGACCGCCAGGTGATGTCACTGAAGCCACGTCCACCTTTGACCCCGTGAGAGGGAGCTGCTCTGATAAATCTGTGACGCTCGCTGCTCCCGGAGAGGTCAGGGGTCACAGTGTGTCAGTCAGCACCCACCCCTCACAGACCAGGGTAGAACACAGACCCCTAGCTTCACCATGACAACCAACAGTATCGCATCATCACCACAGACGCTGCCAGCAGGTTGAAAAACCACAGTCACATTTAAAAACACACCTGTGTGGTCAGGGTCAGCTTTGGGACCACAGCAGATACTCCAATCAATAAACTGATAAATCAACCAATCAGAATCAGAAAGGGTTTTATTGCCAAATGTTGAGCAGGTTTACAACATTAGGAAATTGCTGCGGTGCTTCAGTGCAAACATACTGTCATAAATTGCGCTTAAATAGACATGAAAAAATAAAAGTAAGAATAAGAATTAAAAGTGCTACGTAGAAAGATATATACATGAGTACAGGTGGTGATCAGTGCCAAACATGGAATGATGCAGTGAACACAGCGTAGGGTCATGTGTTAGTGGTGGGAACAGTCATACGTTTATTGTTCATGTGTCCGACAGCAGAGGGGAAGAAACTGTTCTTATGGCGAGAGGTTCTGGTGCGAATGGACCGGAGCCTCCTGCCTGAGGGGAGCAATCAACAGACTAAACCACTGATCAATAAGCAGAGTGACAGGCCAGGCTCAGGCTAAATGCTGGAGAGGTGGGTCCGGCTACACTATGGTAAACTAATCAGCTGATTCTTTGATCTCCTCATTATTCTTCGTCCTTCAGGTGCCCCTAGACTCCGCCCACATTTGCCTCTCGTTTTCTAATCTGCCTCTGGCTGATTGGTCGGTTCGCTGGTCAGGTGGTGGTGGTTAATTCCTTTAGTTCACAGGATAAGAGGCTCATCCACCTCCTCTGTCACACCGCCGCTCTGCATGTCCTTCTTCACTGCATCCATGATCCTCCTCTGAGCTACAACCGCTACTCAAGCTGATGTGTGTTGCTAGTGTTAGCTGTTATCAGAGATTAATAACTGTTATTGATTTGAATCATTATTCACTCTTCATCAGTGTCCACGCCCTCTGACTCTGCAGGTTTCAGCTCACCTGTCTCAGTTTGATCACATGATTTGCATTATTGACTCTCTAAAGCCCAGAGCTGGTTAACCAGTAAAAACTGGTTCCCACAGACACACCGGGACTGTTTTTTTTTATGTAGAACCAGAGTTCTCTGAGTAAAATGTCAGTTAAATAGAGTCTCATGGACTCGTATTTTATTCACAATAAAAACAGCAGGACGATGCTAACCTACCGACTGCATCTATCCAAAGAGTCCAGCTGCAGCATCAGGCCTGCTGAGCAGCTGGAACCCTCAGACCAGACCAGCCGCTGTCCTCGGCTCACAGGCTGATGTTAGCGGGGACGCACGGACTGTCCTGCCTCCACAGTTCTATTAAAATGTCCTCACTTTACACCTCGGACGTGTTTTCTGTGCTATTGTGAATAAAACACGAGATCCAGATGTGACTTTACTCAGAGATCAGCTCTGCTGGAATAAATTTGTCATTTTGTGCCTGACTCGCCACAACGAGGAGGCGCCACCTGCAGGTGACTCTCAGTCACTACATGTCCTTAACGTGCCACTCAGCCAATCACTGATCATTAACATATTGATCCATGCAATAAGTGAAAATGGTCATAACGATGAGGTCACTTCCTGTTTGTGAATCCAGGTTTATTAACAGGAAGTCAAAAACGAGTGCCTTCTGTCCGAATAGTTAATCAGTAGCAAGTATCACAGGTCAGTGAGGCTGATGATCTCCTGTGTCAGGCACTCACCTGAGAATGTGATACCGCTGCTAAAAGCGTTTGGTGGGCGTGTCCATGCTGGTTGCCAATCAGCACAGATGTGTAACACCTGCTTAACATCACAGGGGAGCTGCCCTGTCTGAGTAGGTGATCCTAATCAATACTCTCTCTCTCTCTCTGCAGCACAACGCTGAAGAGCTGCTGACACTGAGTATCCTGCGCTGTGATTGGCTGAGAGTCTGTGGGCGGGCCTGGATCGTCACATGGATACAGATGATTAATAATCAATAATTATTTAAGTAAAGAGTTTATATTTATAAGAAATGTATTGATCTGGTCTGAACACTGCCCGTTTCCATGGATACCTGGTTTGGATCAGTGACATTAAATGCTATAATTTGCGTCCTCCAATCAGCTGTCATTCCACAATCAGCCAATAACTAATCAGCTCGTAGCTTAAGGAGTGATGTCACCGAGATTTACAGACTTTACTGCTGCACGTGAATGCACTGTCCTCTTGAAGACTCACCTGGCATTGAGGCTCCACCCCTCCACACACCTGAAGCAGAGATGTGTTAGCTTAGCTTGCCACAGAGGCTGCAAGCAGATGGACACTGCTAACATAGCAGCTGTAACAGGTGGTGTGCTCAGTTTTGATTGGAAACAGTGTCATGCTGTGACAGCGTCTCCACGACAACCACAGGTACACCTGTGTTTTACCTGGAAGTTTGCTTCTCACATGTTTTTATGTCTTTAAAATGATGCAAACAGGAAATTCTTCTTCTTGTAAACTTGTAAACAAAATGCAATAAAAGGTTGCATGTGTCAAACTGCTCTCACTGGGTTATTGGACGCAATCTGCAGGAAGTGCCTTTTTTTTCAAAGTAAATGCCACATTTCATCAATGCAAGCATTTAATGTGAAACATTCAAACCTACAGCTGAGCAGCAGCAGCTGTACAGGTGAGTCTGAAGTTGTACAGGTGGTTATAATTAATGGTTATACTGGGTGTCTTACCTATACGTTAGCTGAAGAATATCTAGTTATCAGTTGTTACTGGTTATGTTAAGTAACGTACTTGTTATACTGCTTGTTTCACTGTTTATACTGGGTGCATGTGGTTCTAAGACTCTGGTTGTCTTCTTTTATAGGTCTGGGCTGTAATCAGGTGGGGGTCCGCACACAGACAGGTGTATAATCAGGTGGGGGG